TTCCTCAAGTGCTTGGGCAAATTCCTCCACTTTTCTTTGATTGCGAGTCTTGCTGATGTCAATACGTGGTCTTCCTTTTTCGTGTGGTACATTCTCTTTCTTCGCAGTTTTACTCTGCTACACACCAGGGAGTGATCTGTATCGCAATCAGCCCTCTGATAACTGTGTGTGATTGCAATACTAGGAAGGCTAGAACGTCTAGTGAGGATCAAATTGAGCTGATGCCAATGCTTGGATCTTGGATGTCTCCAGCAAACTCGGTGTTGAAGCTTTGTATTAAAGAATGTGTTGCTGACACAAAGACCAAATAACAGCAAAACTCCAGCAAATGTTGGCCATTTTCATTCATCTTCCCAATGCCAAAACGGCCTAAACAAGTGGGCCAAGAATTGTGATCAGCACCAACTCTAGCGTTAAAGTCTCCGAGAATGAACAGTGGCTCTCTCTCAGGGACTTTTTTGATAGTACCTGCCAGATTGTCGTAGAATTTGTCTTTCACTTCTGTTGTGGATGACAGTGTTGGTGCATATGCACTAATGAGGTCCCGCTGATGAGTGGAGCTGCAGAGACAGGATTCTTTCACTCCCCATAGTAGGTGAAACAATGAATCTCAGCAGAATATTTCTGACTGCAAAACCAACACCATATTCCCTGGTCTCATTCAATGTTTTTTCCTGCCAGAAGAAAGACAAGTTTTTTTCTTTGACAGATCCCAAGTCTGGCAATCTCGTATCTTGCAGGGTACTCCCTACCTAACACAGCAGTAGGTGACAACAAAACCAGAAAGAGGCCAGAATTGAGTTTCTTTAGGAAGCAATGAGCATCGAGCAGATATTTAGTAGTTTCCTTATTGTGTTCAGATCCATGGATTCCATTTTGTTTGCTTCCATGTTAAAGAGTCACTCCTAAAGCGGAATATTCTTCAGCTGATTACTATATCACCATTACTGTTGGCTGTACAATGAAAGCCATTCTGTACCATAAGGACTGCTATTCAAGACTTGAAATCACATACAGTACTGTGAAAGATGCAGTGCTCTGCAATTACACTGTCATTTTGATAGATCAAAGCTGCTTCTTGAATAGCACAACCTGTACACATTTAGAATATTTCAGTCTCCAGTCAGGATTGTAGACCAAATGACAGTATTGCTTTTAGAATGAAGTTCTGAATCAAAATAACAAGGCAAAAGGCTTTTTAATGTGCTATTGCCTGCCATAAGCTTACAAAAAGCACAATAGATTAATACCCTGCATCTTAGGTTACAGAACACAGACTGCAAGACACAATTAGTAGAGGTTTTGGATAGTGCCAAACAGATGGAAATTTGATGTTTCTAAGAACTTTGTCTCTTGACCTATTCAAGACTAACTATAGAAGCCAAAGCCACTAAAGCTATCCGGCGTAAATCAAACAGCTAGCACAAAAAGGGCATCCAGATAGGTATTAAAAAGAAGCACTCTGATGGTCTTCCAAGCTGCCATTTTAATGCTTCTGTAGTTATCTGAACATTGATATGTGCTTTTCTCAACTGGCTGGCTGCTCCACCATGGCCATCTACTCTTTCCACTTCATTCAAATAAAATTTGGAGAACAAAAGACACCGTAGCTGAATTCCTGAGAAAGTAGCAACAACAACTTGTTTTTGGCAAGTGGTGTAAAACAGTGGTCCCCAACCTTTTTGCCTCCACAGACCGGTTTAGCATGTGGGCAGGGGGGCATATGTGCATGCATTGGAGGGGCTGTGCGAGCATGGGAGGGGCTGTGGGGGGCCATGCATGTGTGGGAGGGCCGTGCATGTGTTGGAAGGGATATGGGACGGGGTATGGATGTGTGGGAGGGGCCATACATGCATCCGTGTTTTCAGGGGGGCCGTAGATTTGTCTCCATGGCCCAGTCTTGGCAAGGCCACGGACAGGGAGCAGTCCGTGGACCGGAGGTTGGGGACCCCTGCTGTAAAAGACAGAATGCAGACATGCAGATGGAGCAGTACAGTAGCAAGGATATTATGCTACCGAAGAAGAAGTCTGAGTACAGCCTTTTGGCCATTCAAGCAGGGGTGGGTGCATAAGACAAACCAACAGCTCATGGCTGCTTTGATGAATAGCGTACTGTAGCAATACATAGGTTTGTCTTTCTGTGGATCTACTCACTTTTTTCAAAATTAACACCAACCTTCTTTTACCTTTTGTTTTCTTTTGTAATTCATGGAATCTGTTTTGTAAGTCTCTCTCTCGTAACAGAGAAGACTCAAGTTTCTGGGCTTCCAGTTCAGCTGCATCTGACATCAGTCTTAATCGTTGTACTTCCTCTTGCAGAACCATATTTTGCTGTCGGCATTCACCTAAGCTTTGGTTCATACTGTTTAATTCTGAAAAGTAAATAAAACTGGGATCAAAATCTAAGAAAACACTGCAAGCAAACTCATAATACAAATAACTTCTAAAAACTTCTATTGAGGTCACAGAATTTTCTAATTCAACTGCATTATTTCATATATACTGCCTGAAATACATTTGTAAGTAATAGCTAGAATACGCCTATTGAATTAGTGTAACTTACAGAACAGTTAACTTACCAAATCCCCACTGATTTGACAGGCCTACTGTAGTTGTAATACACTACCGGATTTTAGTAATTTATCCATTGCTACACAACTCCTGAAGAGCAAATGTTGGCTGTGTCAGGTAATTTATACTGGCCAGAATCCTATCATATAGGTATGCTGGCATAAGTGGTATAAACCACAGTGGCAAAGTGCTGCTAGTTAACATTGACTAACATGGCTGGTATGTAATGAGTATTACAAGCAATGATTTGTTAATTAGCAGCACTTTTACTGCAGTTTATCCCACTGCACTTATGCCAGCATAACTAACCAATAGGATTCATTGCATAATAGGCAACAATTAAGTATTTACAAATTCAGTAAGCATTAGGAAGAGCTTTCATGTATGATTTTTCAGCTACTCCTTTAAATTGGAGAAAAAATAGGAACAAAAATGGCCTCATCTTTTCAAATCTTCTCTAAGTTTACATAATTAAAGCCATCATTAATAACTGAAAGACTAACATCAGAAGCACAATTCAAATTTATTTTCGCAAAGGCTTTCACGGCCGGGATCTAATGGTTGTTGTGGGTTTTTTGGGCTCTTTGGCCGTGTTCTGAAGGTTGAACAACCTTCAGAACATGGCCCAAGAGCCCGAAAAACCCACAACAACCATCAAATTTATTTTCTTAAATCCATACACAAGCAGACTAAGTGAATTTCCTTAACTTTTGCAGTTCTATTCTTAATTCCTAGTTATAAAGACGTGTCTTGCTTCCTATTCATGTGTTCCACTGATTGTATGAGGAGATCGATATTCAGGGCAGAGACATGGGCAGACATGTAAGTCCTCTGCAACATCTTGACCACCCAGACGTCAGTTAGACCTTCACATGTTGAACCTAAAGGTCTGAAGAGGAGACATTAAGCGTATTTGACTCAAAGCACTTCTGGAAGCTTTGAAAGCAAGTTCAGCCAAATATGTTTATGGAATCCCTTTCAGACCTTCATGCTTGAGATGCATACATACCAAATCAAGCATTCAGCTAAATGCCTAAATAGGACAACTGTATATTCCAAGTGCTTAGAAAAAGTTATTCTGTGTAAGTCTCTGCCATTCTACTGTATAGTATCATCCTTTCATTCAAAAGAAGAGGATGCTAGGGGTCAAAAAGAATTTCACTAGAGTTGGTACTCTCTTCACCAAAAAAAGTGTTGAGCACCCTTTTTGAAGGGCATAGTGGCCCCTGGTATAAACTAATCTACATCTAATAAAAGAAAGGATGTTGCTAAGCAATGTAGATTAAACTATTTCTGACCATAATGTAGTTTTGTATACTTTTTGTGTGAAAATTAATAAAATAAGGTTTTTAAACCACCCAAATTTAGCAGCAAGGATTGTCAACATGGTTTTAGACTCAATACAAAGTTCTGCTAGTACAGATGCAGGGTATGCATCTCTTCTTTGGTTCATGGAGTCTTCCCTTGCCATCAGTTCTTCCCTACTTGCTCATTTCTTCTTTCTAAAGGATATTTGGAACTGTCAAAAGTGTCAGTATTCATGTTCTTTCACTCAGACAAAGGGCAGTGAATGCACTTCTCTCCTCATACATCTCTGATTCATGGTCTGTCTGTACCCATTCTGTAATATTATCTTATCTATCATGTTCCTGTTTCAAATTTATAATACAGCTAAAACGCAGCCAAAATGTTACGATAATCATAGCTTTTGCAGTGAGTTGCAATGTAATAAATATATACATGTATAGCAATCCAAAACCTACAAAATAAACAAGAATGCAAACATTTATACAAACTGATGGAACTTTTTTGTAATCTTGTTCTCCACTGTTATAACTAATAAGGGTCCATCAGAACAAATATACAGTATTTCTTACCATACAGGGTGTACTTAGTTCCAACTGCAACTTAATTATTCGTTTATACAATATTTCTGTATTTGATAAGTGAGCTTCTTGTTATCTTCATCCTTATTTAGAAGATGCAAAGTTCCCTTTTGCTAAATGTATTTATGTATTTTAGCTGCTGGTACTGCTAGAATACACATTGATTGTGAAAGCAAGGGCTGAAAGACTGGAATTGGAGGTAATTATAAAGCATGGTCTGAATTGCCAAGTGCATAAATAGCAAAACACATTTTTAAAAATGGCACCACAAGCAGAGGGGCACGATGTTCTTTGGTTTCTTAACCTTCAATTTGCACTATCCGTGCTCAGCAAGAGACATGCTTTAAAAGCAGAGGGTTTTTTTTTCAACGCTTTTGTACCTCTTGAAGAAAGAAAGGGGAAAACATGCACTTATGCCTGAAGTAATATATTCAGAACATTTTTACACCAGCTACTGAAAAAGGCAGACTGTCGCATTCAGCAAGACATGCACAATTAATAAGACAGCTGCTCTCAATACTTCCAGAACATCTTGTAATAAATGACCAAAATAATAGCACATCCTAATCAGGAGGAGCAAAAAAATTTCATGGGTTATACTCAAAAGACGTGACCTATAATTTCACGATGTATTGTATTTTGTACACATGGATACCACATATTTTAAATGGATTTTCTCAGAGCACATCTGATGTCAAGGATACAGGTCCAATGTCAGAAGCCTTCAGTCACATTCCAATAGAGGCCTATTCTACTATGCTGATTTCACAGTTAAAGGTTGCTCTGAATATGATTCTTGCACAAGAAGCTGATATCACCTTGAGTGAACCACGGAAGCATATAAGACAGCAGTGGTAGAAGCATCTGCCAATGCATCTGTCGCTTGCCCTTTGCGAATGAGTGCACAGTGAGTTTGACTACAGTGGAGGCTTTGCCCACCCCCGTGAGGCATCTTTGGAGACTTCAGATTCCATGACCTTTCATCTTTGTCACTTAAGGGGACAGATGACAGTTGTGCTTCCTGGTGATGCAGAAAAATCCCTGTGTTGGATTTCATTCAAGTCATTTCACATCACACACACCCCCCCCAAAAAAACCCGTCCAGAGTCATGAACTGTATTCAAGCAATTTGATGGGCACAGCTGTACTGTGGACTGCCAGATGTGGATTTTGCACATCTAGCTGCATGGTTCCAAAGTTCAATGGAAATCACAATCCCGAGTGGCAACCCTTTAACTGGGTGGTACCACTTCCACTTGTTAAGTGGGGTTCTCAAGATTGAATGCTTAGGCATAGTGAAAACATTTGATTTTGGTTTTTATACTGGCAGAGAAAAGTGTTATGTCGTACTCCTCCTGCCACCTGAAATGGTGCAATGAGGGGACAGGTTTAGTGCCTGGAACGTTCAGGCAAAAAGTGATATATAAATACATTAAATAAATAAGTAAATAAATACATGCTCGTTGTGAACACAAAACAAACCAGAACTGTAAATCACAATGAACAAATAGACAGACATGACCAAGAATGAGATGCAGCCAGAATGTTATAATCCAATAATTTACCTGCCAATCCTGATATATTAATGTTTTCTAGTTGTGAACAAATATCTCCTTTCAGGGCAATCCATTGTTTGAAAAAGCCAAATATCCTTTCTTTAATGCCATTTTGCTCTTTTCTGACAAAACGAAGAATATCAAACACTTTCTTCAAGAAGAACGAATGTTGTTCTAATCTTTTCCTGCCAAAAAGAAGACAAAAAATTGCATTAAATGGCCAATTGTTTTTCTAACAAAATCTTGAAATAGTAAGTATTGTCATTGATTCTATAAAGTACCGAATTAGCTGCCTTTGGTAAAGAACTGATTTAACTCTAGAAAAGCAGCTAATTCAATATTTTATAGTATTTAGTGACAATATTCTTTAATTCCAGCCAGGCTCATTACTACTTAGAATAGGATGCAAAATTCTCAACTCTGATTCATAAAGCAATTGCAATTGTATTTACTATATGTCTAGCCATCCAACATACCAGTTATTTATTTATTCAATTTTTACCCCGCCCCTCTAGACAGTGTCTACAGTTATACTTAGTATACTGAATTTACTATGTATAATAAAGGGGAAAAGATTTTCTGGGGTGGGGGAAATCATCCCATGTAAAAGGATTTGCAGTTAATATTCTATTTCAATGGCATTAGTATGTCATGTTCAGAAAAATTTAGAATCATTTAGATCATCAGCCTCTTGAATTTTCAGATGACTGCCCAATTTCAAAAGATGTATATCAGGTTTTAAAAAAAACCCTCAAAGCTGACTTATATTGTATTACTCTAAGGAATTCAAGTGAGTTGTGATTAGGAGGAAAGCATCTAAGGAATTCCTGTACAGTTGTGCCCCGCTTAACTATTACCCCGTATAACGACAAATCCGTTTCACGACGATGTTCTTGCGATCGCAATTGCGATCGCAAAATGATGTTTTAAATGGGTTTTTTTCACTTTGTGAAGATCGGTTCCCTGCTTCGGGAACCGATTCTTCACATTACAATCAAAACAGCTGATTGTCGGGTTTTCAAAATGGCCGCCAGGTGCTCAAAATGGCTCCCCGCTGTGCTTAGGGACGGATTCCTCGCTCTACAGGCACCAAAAATGGCCACCCATATGGAGGATCTTCGCTGGACTGTGAGTTTTCAGCCCATTGGAACACATTAACCGGGTTTTAATCGGTTCAATGGCCTTTTTTATTTCGCTTTACGATGTTTTCGCTCTACAGCGATTTCTCTGGAACGAATTAACGTCGTTAAGCGAGGCATCACTGTACTAGAGTTTGGAAAAGCTGCCACAAATGATTTAGAGCTAGAAACTGGGAGCACTGAAAAACAAAGGATGCAATCCGAAGAAACCTTGTGTGCACAAGCATGTAAGGGGGGAAGGGGGAAAATTCCACATCCGTTGTGTCTCTGGTGCAGAGAAGTATGCAAGGAGATCTGATCATCTATTTTGCATTCTTCCCCAAAGAGCAGCAGCCTTGGAAGAAAAAATTAAAGGACACTTTGGCACATGGGGTGAAATAGGCGGGGGGAGGATAGATTTATAGTCCACACTGTGACAATTGCAGGGAGGATTACAATTGGTCAAAACACACACACACACACACACAGAGAGAGAGAGAGAGTTCACGTGATTTATTAAACCAGGATCAAACTCTAGTTTCATATTGCAGTTGATTAATGAACTTCAGAAAAGGACTACAAGTCTCAGGTTTTGTCACACCATGAATCGTAGTAAATCTTCCTTCAGCTTCACCTGTTACATCCAACCAATTCACTGCATCTCAGTTTCACAAAGCTAATTATCCCATGGATTGCCCTGTGAGACTTCTTACTGTAAGAGCTGGGACTGTTTGTGTGAAATTTCCTTCTCTTTCTGGAGACATTTCAACTGTTCTTTTAGATTTTGTATTGCAGCTTGCTTACTTTCAGTCTCGAGCGATAAGGTTTTTATTCTGTAAGAAAGAAAGAAATGGTAACATTAGCATTCGCAAATGAATAAACAAACCATGACTAAAAATAAATCAATCTAGAAGGTCACATCTAGCAAAAAATAAACAAATCTGAAAGGGAACATCAATTAGCCCTGCCACTAATGGAAATATAATCCATGGAAGGACTGATTTTTTTCAGAGGCTAAGTAATAATAAAGAGTCTTGTGGCAATTTAAAGACTAACAAGTTTTATTTAGTGTAAGCTTTCAGGAACTACACCCGATTTAATCATCTTGTCACAACATGTGATGAAGTGCACTGCAGACGATAAAAGTTTTTGTCAAATAGCACTTATTCGTCTTTAAGGTGACAGAAGGCTTCTGTTGTTGACGGAATGACAATTCCCAACCTAGCACAATAGCACTGCAATAAAGAAGAAAACTGAAATCTAGTGAGGTGTTCTCCCTTGCACAGTCTTTTGTATAAGACTGCATGCTAATTTTTCTCTGGATTTGAAATTTTTGGTGATGTTTGCTTTACATTCCTTACACATATGCACAACTCCTAGAGGCTCAAGCACAAGTAGTTTCTCAGTGAAGTATATGCACACTGAGTGCAATCTTGCAATTAAGAGTTGTTCTGCAATGAGGATTTATTTTGCAAATGAGGAACTGTATTCACTTCATCAACAAAAATGACAATGCATTATCTTTTTGGATGTATGTGTGATGCACCCCAACTAACCAAATCTCCTGCTAATACTTGTGCAAAGCTTCACAGGATAGCAGTCATGAATGAACTTGTTTGGCTGACATTCTTTTGGATCTAGCCCCATACATTTCACTTTTAAGAGTTTATTCTTTGAAAATATCAATATTTTATCAACAAAACTCTATAGCTTTTTTAAAATCATACAAAAATATAAAGTAAAAGAAAAACAGAAAGATTTATAGTAATATAATTTTAATTAACTAGAAACACATTTAGATAATCAAAGATTCACATAAACTTTGGTGTCTTTAAATAGGTGTAAATGAGGATTAAAAATTAATTTCTACGTTTCTGAATTGCTTTTAATCCCAACGTAAAATTATGGCAATAGCATCTGTGGTTCACTGCCACCAAAATATATTCCTTTCTCCTAAATTCCTTCTCTTTTCTAATTAGATAAGAGAGCATATATTTTATATGTTCTAATGAGGTTATTAAAATATAAAGAATTACAGTGGATTACTAGTCTCACTTTGTGTTTCATACCAAATTGTAAGACTATAAGGAAATTAAAATCAGAGTTCCTTTTATTTTAAAATTGTGTAGCAATCCAATGATAATGAAAAGATATACAGTGTCGGCAACTATAACACTGGAACATACTATCTGCTGCGGCAGCTCTGTGTCAGGAAAAGGTCAACAAAACATGACTTTCAAACTGGTGTTAGAAGCAGATATATCAGCACAAGCATTTATGACAGGAGGCAGAGAAGGATTTTTTCTTGCAGTGTCAACAGGTCTTTAACTGATGTCCACGTAGTCTTGTGAAGACAAGCCATCCTATTTAGTTTATAGTTCTGAATTGTGTCCAGTACCTTGTAAAAGGGCCCCTTTTGGGGTTTAGACAGAAAACAATTTTTCTGTCTAAACCTTGAACTCACATGCTTTTGTGTTATTTATAAGTCTTATACATATCATTCAAATGCATGTGTATCTGGGATAATTTCCCATCAGATTCATCGGGTATTACTTTTTATAAATTCTACAGATTCTTAAAAACCAAATATTTAGCAAACTTCCTTACAATCAGGTTCCATATACAGTGGTGCCTCGCTTATCAAGCACCCCGTTTAACGATGAATCCGCATAGCGATTGAGTTTTTGCGATCGCAAAAGCGATCGTATTGTGATGTTTTAAATGGGGGGAAATCGCTTTGCGGTGATCGTGGGGAAGCGCTTCCCCACGATCATCCCAAAGTCCCCGCCGATCAGCTGTGTTGCAAAGGGTGGAGAGAGAGAGCCCCAAAGCACAGCTCATTGGCAGGGGTATGCAAAGATCACAGGGAAGCCAGCTCCGCAAACCCCTGCCTCGGCGCTCGCTCTCTCTCTCTCCACCCCTTGCAGCTCCAGCCTGGGCAGGGAGACTGCCCAGGCTGGAGGGGGGGAAGCCAGCGCCGAAGCAGAGCTCATCAGCGGGGGTTTGCAAAGATCGCGGGGAAGCCAGCTTCGCAAACCGCCGCCTCGGCGCTCTCAGCGAGGCCTTTGGGATGATCATGGGGAAGCGCTCCCCCGGGATCATCCCAAAGGCCCCATTTTCGCACAGCTGATCGGCGGTTCCAAAATGGCCGCCCACTGTGTTGCCTCGCTTACCGGGCACCGAAAATGGCGACCTGATGGATTTTCACTTACAGGTGAGTTTTCCCCCATAGGAACGCATTAAACGTGTTTTAATGCATTCCTATGGGGTTTTTTGCCCCGCATAGCGAGGAATCCGGATAGCGACATTTTTTCTGGAACGGATTAACGTCGCTATGCGAGGCAGCACTGTAGATAATAACACATTTCAAAATGCAAACTATGACCCCATTATCTCCCTGTAGGTAGTGTATGCAATAAATAGCATTGGTATTCAACCAGGGGTAAATGTAACACTGGAAGGACAAAGTGGTTTAGACAGGCCCATGTAATGCAGGGTTTTCACAAACATTCACTGTCCCTTATATGGCTATGAACATCTGCATTTTAGCAATAACTCTTGGCACAGTATATCAAAACAAAAACAAAAAAAACAAGACAAAAATGTTGTGGCACCTTGAAGACTCACTGCTTTTTTAAATGTGAGTTTTCATGGATCAAGTCCACTTGATAGAGACTACAGAAGATTGAGACTACAGTCATGGCCAAAAATACTGGCACGCCTGCAATTCTGTCAGAAAATGCAACCCTTCTCTCAGAAAATCATTGCAGTTGCAAATCTTTTCGTACTCACATGTTCATTTCTTTGGTTTAGTAACCACAATTGCAACCAGTTAAGATGGAGAAAAGTATGACGTGTAAAGAGTTGTCTGTGGATTTGAGATAAAAATTTGTGGAAAAACATAGACAATCTCAAGGCCACAAGTCCATCTCCAGATATCTTAATGTTCCTGTGTCTACTGTGTGCAATATCATCAAGAGGTTTACAGCCCATGGCACTGTAAGGTAACGGAAGAGCACAATTACTGAAAAATGGTGGATACAGAACCCAGATTAACTTCCCAACAAATTCAAGCTGATCTGCAGACACAGGGTACAACAGTGTCAGCTCACACTATCCGTCGCCATCTGAATGAAAAGGGACAATGTGGAAGGAGACCCAGGAGGACACCACTGCTGAAACAAAAACATAAAAAAGCAAGACTGGAGTATGCCAAAACCTATGTTACAAAACCACAACCCTTGTGGGAGAACTTACTGTGGACAGATGAGACAAAAGTAGAGCTTTCTGGTCAAGGACATCATGGCACTGTTTACAGAAAAAAACCCTAATTCATGGCACTGTTTACAGAAAAAGAACTGAGTTATTCAAAGAAAAGAACACAGTCTTTACAGTCAAACATGGTGGAGATTCAAAGATGTTTTGGGGTTGCTTTACTGTTTCTAGTACTGGATGCCTTGACTGTGTGAACTGCATCATGTAATCTGACGATTACCAAAGAATTTGGGGGCGCAACATAGTGGCCAGTGTCAGAAAGCTGAGTCTCCACCAGAGGTCATGGGTCTTCCAACAGGACAATGACCAGAAACACACTTCACAAAGCACTCAGAAATGGATACAAACAAAGCACTGGAGAGTTCTGAGATGGCCAGCAATGAGTCCAAATCTGAATCCCATAGAACAGTGGTCCCCAACCTTGGGCCTCCAGATGTTCTTGGACTTCAACTCCCAGAAATCCTGGCCAGCAGCAGTGAAGGCTTCTCGGAGTTGTAGTTCAAGAACATCTGGAGGCCCAAGGTTGGGGTTCACTGCCATAGAACACCCGTGGAGAGATCTCAAAACAGCAGTTGGGAGAAGGCATCCTTCCAATCTGAAGGCCCTGGTTGTTGTTGCTTAGTCATTTAGTCATGTCTGACTCTTCATAACCCCATGGACCAGAGCACGCCAGGCTCTCCTGTCTTCCACTGCCTCCCGGAGTTGGGTCAAATTCATGTTGGTCGCTTCGGTGACACTGTCCAACCATCTCGTCCTCTGTCGTCCCCTTCTCTTGCCTTCACACTTTCCCAACATCAGAGTCTTTTCCAAGGAGTCTTCTCTTCTCATGAGATGACCAAAGTA